TAACAGCAAAGGACCAAATGCAGATCCCTGCAGCACACCCCTATTTTTGTCTACTCTTTTTTTACCTCCATCTTTTAAGTGGCATACCCAGCAATGTTTTCATGGTGATCTAACAAGCCTTTTGTTATTTTAATCACCCTCCCTCCCTCTGTTTATAAACAAATTCCCTTTGCCTCAAAGGCAAATTGTTTTGGTTAAGAACTGCTTCTGGAGCTAGTATGGCAATATGAAATCCAGGGGTTCAAACTTTAGTAGGACACCTGACCCCTCTAGCCCCTCATAAATGGCACTCTTGGCAGAGTCTCTCTGTTAGTTTCCCAATATCTATACACCCCAGAGTGAGCTGAACTCTGAATGAGAAGCTTCATGCCTTTGAGGTGGATTTCTGGGAGTAGTTGCATTTAAATAACGGGGGAGGGGAGACGGAGGTCTTGGGGCTACAGCTGCTCTGGGCCCTAAGCCGGTGGAATGAGGAGTCCCATTTCTGTGAAGTGGTAACAGACTGAGAGTCAGTGCCTAGGAAATATGCCAGAGAGGCCAAAGGTGGAACTGTCTGTTGCAGCTTCAGAAGCTTTACACACTCTGGGTGCATCTATACAGCACAGTTATTTCAAAATAACAATGTGAGTGTCTAGACAGTAATTCCGTTACTTTGAAATAAATCTGAAATAATGGATGGCTTATTCTGACTTCTGTAAACCTCATTCCACGAGGAATAACACCTATTCCGAAATAGCTATTTCAGAATAGCAGTAGTGTGGATGCTCCACTACTGCTATTTCTAAATAATTCCTCCCCGGGGCCATTCAAATTAATTACTCCCCAGTGCTTCCTGGGGCTCTAAATAGAGGTAGCACATCCACATTAGGGAAACCTGTAGTGTACACGTGCTGTTTCAGAGTATTCCTTCTGGAATAGCTTATTTCAAAATAAGTGTTCAGTGTAGACCAACCAGAAGATTGGGATCTACCAGTAGATCTTGGAGCCTCTGACAGGGGATCCTGACTGGTTTGGCCAGGAAGCTATCAAGAGCTGGCACGTCAGTTACCCCTCCACCCACTGTCATGCTGCTCCTGCCCTGGAGCTGCCCTTGGGAGCTTCCTGTGCAGGGTATGGGAGGCAGAAGAGGGATGCAGATGTCAGGGTGTGTCCCCCCCCCCCCTCACCTGTACTCAATCTCCACACAGAGAGAAGGGGATGGAGGGAGCTTGAACCCACTACCCTGTGCTCCCCAGACAAATCCCCTAGGCCACTGCAGAACCCAGCCCACCTCCCTACTTTCCATGGGTTCCTTATCCTGCCTTCATAATACAGGAATCAGCTCCACCCCTGGGGCAGCTTGTGTTGTCTGTCTGGCCACTCCCAGGGTGGGCTGAAGGGGAAGGGGGAGGGACAGAGGAGGTGCTCGAGCCCCCAGCCCTGCACTCCCCAGTAAAATTCCCTACCCCCCAGGCCAGTGTTTCTCAACCTTTTTTATAAAGTACCCCTTTAAAAAAATTATAAGTACCCCAATGCACTCACCCCTCCTCCAGAGCCAGGAACCTCTAGCCCCCCCACACTAACCCAATGCCCCTCCCCTTCCCTTGAGCCAGGCACCGGACGTATGATAATCCTACCTGTGAAGTGCCCTCCTGCTGTCCGGCCCTGCCTCAGCAGCTTGGCTGCAGGGAGCAAGTGGCCCACCAGCGCTGCTCGCACTCCCACCCAGCACCCTCCTAGTGTGGCACCTGGGGGCAACTGCGCCCCCTCACTACACCACTGTTGCAGGAGGGTCCTTTGAAGCAAAGCTTCTTGTGCCGCTTCACCGTCTTTTAGCTCCTCTCTGCAGCGCCACAGGGAAGGGGCAATGGGGATGTGCTGTAATGAGCTGCTAGCAGGGGAGGGGGCAATGTGCGTCTCCAGGTTCAGTCGCCATCCCCACTGGAGCACCCTGGGGAGGACGCCAGAGAGGAATCAAACTAGTAGAGGCGGCCGTGGAAGTGATTTTTTTTCTCCCTGCCCAAACCCACCCACCGACTTGGAACTGCCCTGGGTTTTACCAAAGCTGCCGCTGCTGCAGCCACATGCTTTTCCCACTAGTGCTGGGGAGCGTGTGCAGAGTAGCTGTTAATGTCTGGACATGCAGCTCCAAACATTCAATTTGACAGGCACATGCAGCCGTCCCCTCCCCGATCCCCTTTGCAGGGCAAAATCCCAGATATTTTTGCCAAATTTCACTTGTGTTGACGTACCACCCAGACTTCTCTCATGTACCCCTAAAGGTACCTGTACCACTGGTTGAGAAACCTGCCCTACGCCACTACAGAATTCTCCCTACCTTCAAGGTGTCCCCTCCCACACTCCAAACCCCTTGGCCCAAGACCAGAGCCTGCACCCCAACGCCCAAAACTTGAGTCCTCGGAGAAGACGTGGAGTGGGGCAGGGCCTCAGCAAAGCGGGGAAAAGAAGCCAGGCAATGGTATTTGGGTTTGAAGTAGATCTTACATTGCACTTAAATTGAAAAAGTGATCTTGTGATTAAAAAGGCTGGAGACCACGGGTGTAGACGTACCCTCAGAGACAGAGGCTTGGATCCCCTCACAGCAGTTCTATACAGTAGCTGGAAGGGAGTGCTTGCTAGGCTCTGTAACATCCTGGTAGTGCACAATAAAGCCTCTCAGGCAAACAGTCACACATGCTTAATATGAAGTATGGAAGCAGTCTCCTATATATTTTAATGGAACTTCTTAGGAATTTAATGTAAAGCACTAGCATAAAGTGTATCCAAAATCAGGATCAGAATTTGTATATAAAATGAACATATTAAACAACTAAACATTAACCATTTAAAAATGTAATTAGCCTTTGTTTCCAGAATAACCATGAACAGATGTGTGTGTCTCAGATATATTTGTTACTTGAACTTATTAGATGATGTTATGTGCCACTAAAAACTGTCTTGTGTTGGGTAACTGTGATCATGATATTGTTTCTCTCCTCTGATTAGATTAAAATAACATGATTTTGCTGAGTAAATTCATAATTTTCCCTCCCGGAGTATTCACGAAAGCTTAAAAGTTGCTTTCTGAGAATAAATATGCTAGTAAAAGCTGATTATAAGAAAGTTCATGGAGATAGGCACAAATGCAGCCAAAGGAAATCCAAACACAAATGTGATCAATGTAGTGCTTGCAGAAGTTTGTTTCCATTATCTGCTCAGCTATTATGGGTACACTCCTATAACCCACAGTTATAGGAGGGGAAAAAAGGGTATGAACATTGTATTCCAAAGAGACCAGTTCACTCTTAAGTAAATGATTAATAATTGGGGGGAAAAGGCAGCCTTTCAGCCAAAGGACTTTTCTCACACCCCAAAATATGAAAAATTGAATCCCTATTTATTATAATTCATAGTAGGCAATACACTATCCTAACTCTGGTTCATTGCTGGGGCAGGATTGTGTAAAAACACATTTTTTTGCAGAGAATCAGGCATGAAATGTTTTCCTTGATTCTGATCTTAACCATTGGACTTTGTAGTAACATTCTCCATCACATAATGTGCTACCAAAGACACTGGCTAACACCACTGCAAAGCCTAAATCGGGAGATGATCTGAGATTTAGGCCGTGTCCAGACTCAGGGGTTTTTTCGGGAAAAGTAGCCTTTTCCCGAAAAAACTTCCCCTGCGTCCAGACTCAAGCCGCGTTCTTTCGAAATTATTTCGAAAGAACGCGGCTTTTCTTTCAATGGCGGTAAACCTCAATTTACGAGGAAGAACGCCTTCTTTCGAAAGTTCCTCTTTCGAAAGAAGGCGTTCTTCAATGTAAAGAGGCCGTCTTCGAAAGAGAGCATCCAGACTCGCTGGGTGCTCTCTTTCGAAAAAGCGGATTTCTCTTTTGAAAGATCCGCCTGCAGTCTAGACGCGATCTTTCGAAAGAGGCTCTTTCGAAAGATGCTTTCGAAAGAGCCTCTTTCGAAAGAAGCCTGCAGTCTAGACATAGCCTTAGAGTAAACTAAGTGAGTGCAGTTGCCAGCCTTTCTGAGCAATTGTGGTCATCTATCAAACTATTCCTGTTGCTGCCAGTCCCCACCATCTCCCAGGGTATGTCTACACTACAGTTTTGTCAGAAAAACATCAATTTTTCCGACAGAACTTGAGGAATATTCACACTGCAGTTGTGTTCTTCTGCAAGAAAATCAAAAGAACAGAGAGGTTTTTCCAGCATTGGTAATCCTCATTTTATGAGGAAGAAGCATTTTTGCGAAAGAGTTCTTTCACAAAAAGGCGTGTGTGGATGAGGAAGAGGGAGTTCTTTCAGAAGAAGAGAAAAGAGGAAAAAGCACAGGTGCCATGGTGGCCATTCTGTCCATATCAATCACAGCTTACATGCGAGATAGTGTCCATTCAGCCTGGACACTCTCTTTCAAAAAGCAGATCACTTTTTCGATGCACTTTTGCAGTGTGGACACTCTCTTTTGGAAGAAGTTTTTTCGGAAGATCTCTTAAAAAAAAAAAACTTCTTCTAAAAGAAGCCTGTAGTCTAGACATAGCCTCAGAGCTTGAGTTGCTTCAAACTCTAGTCTGCAGTTCATTAGTTGTTGCACAATGGACTTCCACTGCAACTCAGAGTGCACACAGCTAATCTGGAAATAGGTCACGGTGCATCAATGCAGAAGCTCAAGATGAAGAGCCTCCTTGTGTTCCTCTTGAAATGAATGAAGGAAAAAAAAGACACCAATAGGAACAAGATTCCGACTCAAATTATGGAGGCACAGACCAAAGTATTGATGTATACCACTGCCTGGGAACCAATGCTCTGAGTTAATACTGTAGCTTCTGAGGGGAAAAAAAGAGGGAATGTTTCTCCACTTCCTTGCACAGTCATTAAGGCCTCTACAAAGTGATTCTAAAATCATGGCAGCTCCAGAGGGTAGCATCCTTTTAATGCAGGATTCTAGGCAATTCCAGATCAGACCTAGGATGCCACTGTTTTTACTAGAATATATATATTCAGTTACCTTTTTCATTAAATCACTCATCTTATTGAACTTTCCACTTGGACAGCCCTGCTGTGCTTCTCTTAACTTGGGCTTGGCAATTTTGGTCACAAGACGATCTCCCCGACTGTATCTCCTTGAAGTCAGCTTCTTTTGTTTGGGTTTTCCAGCTGTCTCCCGTGAATCTTCCGATTTGGAATTTTTTTCATCAGTATTTGTAAAGAAGTATTCACTAAAAATAGCAGAGTGTTGTCCAAGCATCTTCTGCATAAGATCTTCCGCATTCTCTAGCCCTACACTAAACTAGAGGAGAATACACAGTATTTAGAAGACTATACATGGCTGGACATAACCATTTCCATATTCAGCAAATAGAAATTTAACTCTCAGACTGGCCCTGGACTGGCAAAATCTAGGCTTCTAAAGCAACAATGAATTAGCCATACTAAGCTATTTCTATCAAGTTCACTACCCTGCCTCAGGAAGTGGCCGATACTGGATGCCTCAGTAATAATTTCCATATTGCATCTACTCTGGGAAAACATTTCTTTCTTACTCTGGCAGCAACTCATTTGCATCCTTTACCATGTAACAAATGATATTTGTTGTAAAATTACACACCTCTTTTTCTGTGTGATATAGAAACAAAATGTGGTTCTGTTCAGAAAACTGACTAACATGGCACTAGGAAGTCAATAGCCAATCGGTGCACATTACATATGAAAATATATTTTCCTAACCACTCAGCCTGCAAATGCAACCTGGGTTCTGAGTTAAGCTGAACTCTTTCCTTCCTTCATAGGCATCTTCATCAGCAATAAAGATTCTGAAGGCCAAACTGCCTTCAGTTCCAGCTGCACCATGCCAGGTATGAATAAAGGCACAATTTAAAGACAGTGAAGTTACATATGAGTTATTTTGTAATGACCATGGCCATGACTCAGCAGGGATTGAACTTGAGGCCTTTGGCAACATAAAGCACAAGTCTCCCTTGAGCTATAGGAATAACTCTGGTGGGTTGAAGCCAGCTCCCACTGAAGCCAATGAAAAGATTCCCAATGAATTCAGTAGGCGTTGTAATGGGGTTTCACTGGCAACAGTGCTAGATTTTATCTTCAGTGTGGATGAGGCACTAGTGTAGGATATAAGCTGCTTGGCTAGTATGCTACAGTATAGTGGAGACATTTATCAATCTGAATACAAATCGGCCTGTTAACTGAAGTGTTGAAAGGGCACTTTCATAAACTGAACAAATGAATCTTATGTAAAATATTCATTAATCTCAGTAAAAAAATGCATCTTGATGAAGAAATTGTAACTTGAAACTATAACCAGAAACTATAAAGTATTTGATTCTCTTTCAATAAACTAGGCATCCCTCAAAGAGGGAAAAACAGAATTTACCTCCAGTAGATTTATAGCCCGACCTAGAACATGTATAGTGAAGTTTGTCATTATTGATCGTGGGATGAAAGAAGCAGGAGAAAAGACCAGTGATGCCTCCACATTTGCACCTACAGTTGCTGCAATGACAGAATTGAGAGCAGAATCAGGCCCCATATTTGTATATCTGAGTTCTGTTCATTCACTAAAACTAAAATATTCGTTGGGAAAGTGAGGAATAAAGGAACGAGAAAGCCACATAGGGATTTAAATCATGAACATGCAGCACAGGTTCCGATTTTAAGCTCAACTTACCTGACTGAAAAGTGGCATCTGAATATGAGGAATATTTCCATATCTCCCAGTCAAACTCTCTGCTAAGGATGTCATCAGGAAGAGACTCTCTAAGATGCTGTTTTAATGGGTCATCTGTCTCCAGGAGCTGAGAGAGGTGACTCCAAACAAAAGAACCCACTTAAATTAGACAAAGAGGCTTGTCAATCACAGACAAGGATTTTTTTAATTTATTTTTTAAAGAGCTATGAAATAGTACCAGATTATTCACTTTTTTACACCTGTGCAAATCCAGAGTCACTCCTCTAGCTTCACTGGGGTTAACTTCACTTTACACCAGTGCAACAGAAATGAGAGTCTAATCCACTAACTAATCTCCTCATTCACAAAAAACATCCAGTTTTAATGCATTCTAGTAAAAGTCAGAGTCTGTGCTATGTGTCAGTGATGGTATTTACAGATTTTCCAATTGCTGTAATTAACTAACTCGTATTTAAAGATAACCAAGCTCACTATTTGCAGCTTGATTTTTCATGTGTTTTATTCTGAACAAGGATCTTGAACACCAATGTATGCCTTATGCCCTGAAAGGCATTTATTACTTATGTATCTATTATATAGTTAGTATAAATTCAGCAAGCTAAGACCAACAACAAAAAAATCAAGACAGGCTCTAGATTTCAGGGTTATTGCCGTCAATCGCTGGTGCAGCCAGACAACAGTTTTCAATTTCTGTGCAGATCTGGCTCATAAATCAAAACTAAGATTTTGTCTAATAGAACAGACTTGCACAAGAGAATGAAGTAGACTGGAGGTAAAATGTGCATGCTGCTCAGTACCAGCAGTGCAGCTCAGAGGAGTTAGAGTTATTCTGGAATTACAGTAGTGAAACAGAACAGAATCTGGCTCTGACACCAAATAAACCCATAAGGAAGAGGTCACTCTGTTATGTAACTACATTAAAAACTGTATTAAAACAGCATTAAGGTTGTCCATGCAAACTTAATTCAGTACCTTTGTAAATATTTATTATGAGCATTTTCCCCAACATTACATAAGAATTATATGGAGAAATCTGGAATAGAGCCTTGTTTTCCTGAGTTTCAATCCAGTGCTTTAAAATCAAGAGAATGGTCTTTTCTTGGAACCTCTGCTCCATTTTATTGCCAGCCTCTGAACTGCCTTACGCAAAGGTCTTGTAGAACAACTAGTACGTGGTCATATAATTAAAGACTGCATATGTAGAAGGGGGGTTAAACAAGGCAGCATGGGCAACCCAACTCAGGCATTTTATGAATTTTGAGTGCAGGACTTTATGACCCTCACATTCTTTTAATAAAGTTTGTGGACATGTAATTCCTGAAATTGTTTTAAATAGCATTATAAAAATGTATCATGTAGACTTACACTGACCTCCTACATGAGTCTTCAGCAAAATCAGAACCAACAGCTTTTAAATCTAGCACAAAGCTCAATTATTTAAGCTACGTAAGTTACTGGCAGCAATCGTTGGCTTTTATTTTATACTTAAGGCATTTACTTTGCCAGGAAACAGGAGAAATTGGGGAATCAGGAATCTTGTGTTTTATTCTTGGTTGTAAAGTACAGTCTAGTTGCTACCTATAGTATAGCCAAATATATAGATTAGTATCAGACTGTGTTAGTCTGAATCTGCAAGAACAACGAGAAATCCTGTGGCACCTTATAGACTAACAGATTTATTGCTTTTGTGAGCAAAGACCCACTTCATCAGATGCATGTGGTGGAAATTCCAGAGGCAGGTATAAATATACAGGCATAAGAAAAGAGTTCAAATCAAGAGTAAGGTTAGAGATAACGAGGTCAATTCAGTCAGGGAGGATGAGGCTCACTTCTAGCAGTTGATGTGGAGGTGTGAATACCAAGAGAGGAGAAACTGCTAGCCAACTACAAAATTGATTACTTTCAAAAATTTTAAACTTGACCAAAACTAGAGATAGCATGGAGATAGCAGGAGGTCTCTGTCCATTGGAGCATCTGCCTTGCCAAATTTCAAACCCCTACGTCAAAGAATAGAGGCACTAGAATGCCTCAACAATGGTCTAAAAAATTGGCCACATGATTAATTTATTCCCTAGTCTCATTCTTGGAAATAGAGCGATTTGGGTGAAACTTGAAAAAATAAAATTCAGTGTGAGACAGAAAGCAAGCATAGAACATTCCGTAGTAAACAATTAAAATCTGGAAATTATAGCAACTGAAAGCAGAGAGATTTACAATGTAAGGTGTTAGGCAACCTTAAATACAGACTTCACTATAGTTCCTTTTCTACTACCACCTAAATAAACTCATGTAATGAGAACTTTTCTCAAGGTTTACAATTCCATGTGCAAATCTGTTTCCATCTCACAATACAACAGGCCATGAATGCTCTTTACATAAAATAAATAAATCTGAGGCTGACACAGTTTTGGAACTCAACTCTCTAACAAGAAAGTGTCAATTGCTTGCTGCACTGGCTGCAGATACAAGTTCTCATGCTTAAGCTTCACATGAAGAGTTGCAGTATTTGTATGATTATTTGGTGAGGGGTTGTACTGTAGCTTGATCTTTCATATGTTTTTATCCTGAACAAGGATCCTGAGGACCAATGTATGCGTGGTGCCCTGAAAGGCATTTATTACCTACACATCTGTTATATGACTGGTGTAAATCCAGCATGCTCAAAAGCCCAGCAAAAGAGTCAAAAGAGTATCTAGCTCTGCAGTGGGCAAGATGCAGCCTGTGGGCCAGATCCGGCACACCATGCCATTGGATCTGGCCTGCAGGCCACCTAATGGGGACACTCAGACACAGAGCAACCTCAAGCCATTTTAAACAGCTGGCTGCTCCCTGAAGCTCTCTGCTCCAGGCACCAGCGAGAGGGGAAGGCTTTTCACACTGTCCCTACCCACCAGCACAATTTCTCAGCTCCTATTGGTGGGAAACCTCTGCACCCTCTGTCCCTCAGGCCACACCTTCCTTACAGACCATGCACCCCCCTCTAATACTCCTCCCCAAACCATAATCCTGTCTTGCACCCATACTCCCTCCCTGACCCTACACTCCAAGCCCAAGCTCCTGCACCAGATCACAAACTCCCTCTCAGACCCCACACCTCCTCTTGCACTCCAGTCCTCTACCCCAAGCTCCCTTCCGAAACCAACTTCCATTCCAGACCACACAAACCCTCCACAGAAAAGTGTAGCCCTTGACCACTTAACAAAATCTTAGAGAGATCCGTCCCCATCAAAAATTATTGGCCACCCCGATCTAGATTTTAGGTTATTGCCCTCAATCATTGGTTCAACTGGAGAAAAGTTTTTTATTTCTGTGCAGATCTGGCTCATAAATCAAAACTAAGACAAATGTTGTTTCTTCAAGTTAAAAAGAAGAGGGTCACTATTTGGACAGAGCTGAAAATTCAATATCACATTACAAAAAACAACTAATATTCTGGTAGCACCTTAAAGACTAACAAAACAAACATGTAGATGGTATCATCAGCTTTCGTGGGCAAAACCAACTTCTTCATTGTCATTTGTTGTTTTTTAAGTTTTTCCAGATACAGACTAACTCAGCTACCTCTCTGAAGCTTTTTATCACATTACAATTATTCCTTGATTATGGCAAAGCTTTTATGTGAAATCCCATAAAACCCCACTCCAAATCCTTAAACATATGCGCTTTTGTATAAGAAGCTGGTGGGATTCTTCACATTAGATGCTTATTTTCTCCCTAGCTAAAATGGCTTCTGCTCTGGAAAATCTGCCACATAAACAAAGGCAGTGTTTTAAACCAAACACAATGGCTTTCTACACAGCATCAGTTTTCAGTTCAGCATCTAATATAAGCAATCTGACTTATGTCAGGCAGCAATCAGTCATGAGTTGGGAAGGAATTACTGAAGAAGGCAGTACAAAGAAGAAAGAGCCTGCCATACTGTTGCCCAGAAACTATGCATCGGGGCATATTCCAAATAAGTAAGACCGTCAGAGAGCTATCTTTAAACAACCCGCCTAAATCCCTCCTAATCCAGCATGTTCCCCTTCTCTTCTGGATTATTAAATGTTTTGCTGTTGCTGTTTGCTACTAGGTCCAAAATTGTCAATCTTTAGTCTCCAGAGCACTTCCAGGTGGCCTGAAAAGCTGCTTCTGTCATAACAATGAAGCATCACTCAATAAATCTTGCAGCTATCTGTAGATGAGTCCAAAACTCTTTCGGTTTCCAATGAATGTGTAATCAACTGCATTAAAATACATATAGCTCTCTGTACCTTTCAGAATTGCATTTGTCTTTGATGTAAATTCAACCATGATTAAATACACAGATAACACCAAAACTGATGGATGACAAATGAAAAGGGGGGCACTACTGTGTCCTGAAGAGAAAAGTGGAGGTGAAACAATAGGCCATAAGAGGGGATTAAATATTAATAAATGTGTAGTGTTATACCCAGTGAAGAGCACATATAAAATAGGGAGCATGGGTACTTTTTAAGGGGCACAGTGAAAATTTTGTAAACGGCTTTTGTAGTACTTATTGCCTATAATAATCTTAGACATTTATTTTTCTGCTATTTTTTTCCTTCTCCATTCAGCACATTTTATAATCAGCCATTTATGTTTGTCATGCAATAAAACTCACTCAGCATGACCAGTTGTCCCTCTCTCAGACTCCTGGATGATGTCAGTCTGTGTTTATTTAATGCTGCCAGCTAGGGGATCTCACACCTGGGTTTCTTTTGTGCACCACACCAAATTGTTGACAATAAAAAAAAGCAAAACCTCAAATTCTAATAGTTTTAAAGTCGTTAATAGGTGGAGCTCAAATGGGTTGGTAGCTTATGCACCTCCAATAGGAATCAAATAAAAATCAAGACTAGAAAATAACTTATGTAAGCATGCTTAATGTTTCAGTAGCTGTCTGCTGACCTTGGCTGGATGTCTCCTCCTGCAAAGTCTGTTGTACTTGGTTAAACAGCTCTTCACTTGGACACTTCATTGCTGTATAATATGAAGCAATTCTTATTTCCACATCATCATCAGTTGCTTGATATAGCTGGGCTAATATAGTACGCTTAAAAAAGAAAAATTAAGGTACTTACTCTCCCAAAAAGCTGAGATGCATTCATTTCTAGGGATAAAGTGATTAGCCATTGCAACAAGCATCATGTGAAAAGTAAATTGCTTTATATAACATCAGCAAACACACATGTACATCACAGCACTCTGGACACAGAGGCTAGGTCTACACTATAGAGTTTTTGTGCAAAAATGGCTGTTTTTGCTCGCAAAGCATCCACACCTCAAGTGCGTTTTTGCACAAGTAAAACAAAAGAACAGAGGGGGTTTTCTGGTGTAGATATTCCTCCTTCTATGAGGAATAACTCCCTTTTGTGCAAGAGTTCTTGCGCAAAAAGGTGTGTGTGGATGGGCAAAGGGGGGTTTTTTTTGCGCAAGAAGAGGGAAGAGGAAAAAGCACAGTTGCCCTGGTGGCCATTCTGTTCATAGCAATCACTGCTTACTTGTGAGAGAGTAGCCAGGCAGTCTGGACGCTGTCTTGTGCAAAAGCGCATCGATGCACTTTTGTAGTGCAGATGCTCTCTTGTGCAAACAGCTTCTTGCACAAGGAATCTGTAGTCTAGACATAGCCAAAGTCTCAGGATACTATACTGCTAGTTACACAGATTGGGCTGGATTTTATATCCATTGAGCTCAAGAGGAGCATTACCATTAACATAAATGAGTTCTGGACTGGACTCGCAATCTTAATACAGTTTCAAGAAGCAGAACTTTCTAGTACAGGACCAAATCCTCAGTTTCTTATGCAGAGCCTGACCCTGCTAACACTTCTGTGTCTCAGTAACTTTTCTTTCCATGGCCAGGTCTCCTTCAATATCTTTCAGGTAGACGAAAGTTATCTTGCTCATTTAGTAGTTAGTTCATTAATGTCATTTATTCTTTTTCATTTATTGGTGCTACACATGATAATTCCTTTTTACCAATGAGTATATAGCAATGAGTGGTATCGCTGTATAACCCAGTTATATCCTTGAACAGCAGACAAAATGTCAATAGATTTAATGGTATTAAAAATAGTACCATGGGAGGACCCGGCTCCAGCTGGAGTTAAATGGCAGCTGCACGAGACGTACTCTTGGACCAGCCCGGTGCCACGCCTGCCGCAGTGGCCGCTGTACAATGAGCAAGAGGCTGCCTCGGAATGGAAGAGGTGGCAGCGGTAGCACGGCCAGATCAGGCCATGTGCAGCAGAGGCATCCCGCGGAGGGAGGGAGGGAAGGAGGGAGCGAGGAAAGGAGGGGACCATGCGGTGGTGGGGCAGCAGCTGGCAGGGGGTTGCTACGGGTGGCATACACCACACTGGAGCTCACAGAATGCTTCAGGCTCCAGCTTCCAACTCCACCCAGAAACCGTGCGTTACCGGAAGTGACCCTGGTTGCCTGCTGGAAGAGGGGGATGTTGCTGCTGCGCTGCACTAGTGTCTGCGAGGCTGTCCCAGCGGGGGAGGGAAATGGCTGTGCCATTTCTAGGTGGATCCAGTGGAGCTTTCCAGGACATTTCCCTACTTGATGAGGAACCAGGATAGAGTATTTAAGTTTGGGACTGTCCTGGAAAAACCGGGACATATGGTCAATGTAGCTATAGGCTAGCTTTGCCGCAGTAAGGCCTGCTGAGTATGTGTGCACCAGGCCCACCAGCTGGGGAGGTGGTTACCTAGGGAGGTGGTGGAATCTCCATCACTAGAGGTTTTACGGCCTGGCTTGACAAAGCCCTGACTGGGATGAATTAGCTGGGATTGGTCCTGCCTTGGGCAGGGGGCTGGACTCAATGACCTCCTGAGGTCTCTTCCAGCCCTAGGATTCTAGGATACTATGAAAATAAACAGGACATGAGTCCTCAGGGGCTTCACCAAGGCAAGATAAACCAAGCAGCTCTCAAGCTGCCATCTGTTATCAAGATAGCACAATGGAATGCTGAAGTTTTCTAGGAACAGTGCTAAAGTGATACCTCCTATTGTAATGTAGTAAGTATATTGTACTTTCACTAGGCTAAAAGTGACATGATGCCTGGGAAAAGCTCAGATTTGTCAAGAAAAACATCTGGATGCTCTTTTTGCTTCTTCAACAAAAACACAATCCTTCCCAGCCTCCCCTGCAGCAGAAACTGTTCAGCCGGGAGATGCTTTTGTACTCCATTCCCATTTGTTTGCACACGGCAGAATTATTTCACACAGCACAGAATTATTTCACAAAGCATCAGCCACTGAACACATCACTTACATTGGCAGCACAGGGGATGCGTCTGAAGGCCTGTATGGCGGCCAGGCGAATTTCTGTAGGGTTGCTTCTCAGGGATGCACAAGAACTCAGGACAGGTGTTAGGGAAGTTGCTGCCAGCCCTGCATTTCCAATTGCTTTTAACACTAGCTGCAGCCAACAATAGAAAGCAAGGCAAAATGAAAAATTAAGGTTATGGCGCATAAAAACATTCCAACATCTGCACAAGATACTTTATTACTTTTACATTATCACATTCTCTTTCAAAATATTCTACCTAAAATGAATCTCTGCTCACCATTTTATTGCCACGTGGGGAATTCTCAATAATGAAACACAACATTTTTTTTAAATTGTACACCTAAGTGAAGTTGCGGCACCAAAAACTAATGCAGTTACACTGGCAATTCAGTCAATATGCTTATATAGCTAATGTAATTCAGGGCATTAGTATAAGGTACATCTCCCCTAAGAGAGTTGCTACTACAGGGCTACTGGCAAACCCTTCCTAGTATAAAGAAGACCATACTTACACACAGTTTGCTCTTCTATAAGCAATGTCGCACTTTGGATTTGGAACTGGGATACTTTTGCAGTGTCTAAACGATGCAGTATATACAAGTTTCAGTGTGACGGCTGAGATAATAGAACTAGTGGGGGAGGGGCATAATTTTCAAATACATTAAAGAATGTTGCAGTTTGATTATCTATCCATCAAAATGCTGCTGGGTAAAATGCTTAGTGATAAAGGCCTGGGATTCTGAATGCCACAGTTGATTTACTCACAACTATGTTACCATGGTCATTTCCTATGCTAAGTATAAAGGAAAGCTGAAGAATTTCAGAAACCAGTGGACACATTAAGGGTACTTCTAGACTACAGGCTTTTGTCAACAGAGGCTTTGTCGACAAAGAACGTCTAGACTACATCCAGTTCTGTCAACAAAGCAAGCCGCTTTGTCGACATGAGTGTGTAGACACAAAGGACAGTGTAGATGCAATAACGCCTTCTGTTGACAGAACTCTGTTGACAAAAGGCGTTATTCCTCGTAGAATGAGGTTTACCGCTGTTGACAAAACTGCCAAGTTCTGTCGACACTATGTCGACAGAACTTGGTGGTAGTGTAGACGCAGGTATAGTTTTGTTGACAAAAGTCCACTTTTGTTGACAAAACCCTGTAGTCTAGACACACCCTAACTGTTGGAAAATGACAACTTTTTGATACCTCAACTTCCAATATCCAGAAGTTCAACTCTGCATAGGCTGACCAATCTTGCATAATTCTTACATAAACTGTCATGTGGTCACACACACACGCACACACACGGATGTAGTTCAGGAGTAACTGCGAATTTAAATGTGTAAGAAACTGTCGTCACTGTGAAAGCTAAAGGAGACTCAGACACTGACCCTATGTTGTATAGTAGGTTGTTTTGATGAAGCTGAGGCATGAGATTCTATCAACCAGGCATGGATATGAAATGTCACATGGAAATTTTAATAGGTGTAATCCAAAAATATCCTCTCCTTCAAACCCATTGCAGCATATTGTTGCTTGGCTGGTGCCTGAGAAGGCTGCACTTCAGTGATTCTCAAAAACCCAGCCATTCTGATTTAGATGCCTATCTTTGCGTTTGAACATTTTGGTCCAGAATCTGTACAGTCCTGTACAGTTCTTTAGGACTGTAAATGGAAATTATTATTTTCAGGACAAGCTCATGCATGCAACATTGAGGGAAAAGCCCTTCCTATTTGAATGGTCTTTTAAAAGAAACTTAGCTTTATTCAGAAATGCATGTTGTAGAGATTAAGAGAAGTCTGGCTTACTCTCAGGAAATAGTTCCTTGTGACGAGAACTATTTGACACTGGGATAGTCCCGCAAGGGAAATGGTGAAAGCCCTATTGCCCAAGTTCTTTAAAACCAGATTACGACACAGCAGTACAATATATACAATAGGGAACAATTCTGCTCCTCGCTAGGAAAATGGACTCCATGACCTCATGCAGCAGATCTTTTCCGGCTGTCTTTTCATCTTCCTTCTCTGACTCCTTTCCCCGCAGGGGCCATCAAAAAGCTCAGGAATGGAATATTTATTTTAAAAGCTCAATTACATAATTTCTGGGGTTTAAGTGTGAACACATTGCTCCGATGATAGGGGGGAAAACCCTAAAACCAAGTGTGTTTTGCACATTGGGACCTTAAACAAATACAAGAAGGTATGAAATACCTCAGCTATAGGGTTGCCAGGTATTCAGTTTTCAACCTGAACATCTGATTGAAAAAGCATCCTGGAGTCTTCGGTCAGTAGTGCTGACCAGGCCAGTAAAAGTCTGGCTGGTGGGACTGTCAGGCTCCCTACCCGGCTCCTATTGCCCCCACTCCATGAACCAACTCCACATCTCCCATTGGCTGGGAACCACAGCCAATGGGAGCTGAGGGGGCAATGCCTATGGGAGGAAGCAGCATACACTGAGCAGAGCCACACGGTCACCACTATGCCTAGAAGCCAAGTAACATGTTGCCACTCCCAAGGATTTCCCACCCCGAGATAAGTGCTGCCCAGAGCCCACTCCCTGCACTCTCACACCCTGCACCAGATCTGAGCCCCCTTCCACACCCCACTCCCTCCCAGACCCCAGAACCCTCCCAGACCACAACCTCTGCCCCAGCACCAACCCTCCTCCCTCCCACACCCAAACTGTCTCCTGTAGCCCATTCCCCTCATATACCCCAAAGCCCTGCCCTAGCCCAGAATCCCCTTCCACACACTGAACCCATTTCTGACCCAATCCCAGAACCAGCATGCACAACCAGAGCCCACACCACCTCCCACATCCCAATCCCTGGTCTTAGCCTGGAGCCCCCTCCTGCCCTCTGGCCCCACTCCAAAGCCTGCATCTCCACCTGGAACACTTCACCCCCACTCCTGCACCTGAACCCCTGCCTTAGCCTAGTGAAAATGAGTGTGTGAGCATGGGGGAGAGCACACTGTCACTGTGGTCTCTACATGTGAGAAGGATGGAGTCAATTGCTTAGAAGGATTGTGAAACGGAAGGTTAAAAATGAAGAATCCAGAAATATGAACCTAATTGCTCCCAGTCCAACAGGGAAATCACCCACAAGACAATATAATTTCCCCTTCCTTTGGCAACATTATGCCAGTCTCCTCAAGTAATACTGTGATTTCCCAGAGTGCATCATTCTATGATGTCACAGCTACCACTAACTTCATGAAGCCAATCAAAAGAAGGGACAAGTAAATTATTTCTCTTGTGTTATCTGTTGTTTTTAAAAAGTGTTTCATTTTATACTCACAGCTTTTAAAACAATATTGTCCAAACAAAGTTTTAAAAATTCATATAAAAGATTTTAAAAGATCCAGCACACTTTTGCATGTTTAGACAAATTTCCTAAAATATTTTGTTGTCTGAAAACCCCAAAAAGTCCATGAGGGCAGCTCTTTTCTGTCCAACAAGCATCTTTTGCCCCATACATACTACCAAAAATATAGCTGAAATGAGTAAATGAACCTGTGCCTATAGATTCAAAGGGACCCATATTCTCACTCCGTAGAATGCCATATTCACCAGACAGGTTTTTATTTTGATTGTGTTTAAAGGGAGAAATGAGTGTTGGAAACTTGTCTGCAGGGTTACTCCATTCTTGTCTGAATGACTGATACCTGGCTGCGTCCTGATTCTTGCAAGGTGCAGTTTCCTCCTAAATATGCTTCCAGAATACTTGTCACCATCTGTACTGCAGGCAGAAGGTCACAGGCACTGTTAGCTGAACAATAATGATGCACCAGAGCAGTTATTCCTAAGAAGATGCTCTGACTTGCTCCTGGTGACTGTAGCAAAGGCTGTAAATCAAGACAAAAATGACAGGCTGCTTAAAAAGTGTAAGCCTCCTAGTTCTTATAATACTCTGAGCACTCTGATGCCTTGTACATGTTCACAAAGATTTATAAGCATTAATTAATTCATCCTTAAACACTCTGATGAAGCCACAGAAAATACCCCTCCCGCCCCTTTTCAAATTTTTTTTTTTTTTAGATTTAATAAAAACATGATGGTGAGACTCAGAGGAAAACCCCAGTTGATATGAAGAAAAAAATCGACTTGCATAGGTGCAAATGAAGAAATGCTTTCCAAGACACTCTGAGTGCTAAGAACACTCACACCGTTTATGTTGCAAAATATACTGCCTGTCCACATAGCAATGGGCCAAGTCAAGATTAAGCTGTAGCAAATAGAAGCTTTTAATGTAAAGGTGTTGTACAGTGCCTAGAGTGGAGCTTAAGTTAAGTGGCCATTGCCCAGAACTCTCAATTAGGGAGTGCTTTACATTCAGGATAGCAGTGCAGTGTGCATGTAATTTAGATCGGCTCTAACATTATCACATACACCTTCATTGAGGTGTAGCTAGAGTGTTTTATTTCATAACAAGTCACATTTATGGTAAGATTCCACTGATAAATAGCTTCTAAAAAGATATTAAATGATAACAACAATTGATTAATCATGTAGGCTGTTATTGTGTCCAATAGGTTGTTTATAACCAGCAGTACCTATCCACTGCAGAGTTCTGGTCCAAGACTAGATGCGACAATAATACGAACAATAAATAAATAAGCTAAAACACATATCAGGGTTCTTATATAGCCATTTGTAACATATGCTAATTATGTCTGTAACAAGATTATAACGCCTATAAATAATTTATTGGCCTTTTTTTAAGGAATCTAAATATAAAGTGTGACTCATGTTGTACAGGGCTCAAACCTGAAAACCATTCCTCTAGCAATTCCATTAAATGAAATGGGATCAAGATTAAATGAGGCCACAAGGACCAGAAGATCAGGCTTATGGTTATGCCCAGCTTGTGTCTGTCGTAACTTGTTTTCTTTTTTACTGCACCCTTCTACTGAAATTTTCTCTTCCTACGGCTGTAGCAGCTATTTATTCTTTGCCAGCTCTATAAAAGAGAACGCTCTCGTGTAGATCCTACTTTTGTTTGTTCTTGTAAAAGCAGTTCTGATAAATAAATCTGATCAAAATTGATTGCTGTTTGAATATGCAAAATCATCATAGGCCCCCATAGGCTATAAATGTGAATAAGACCTGACAAAATGGTATGTTACATAAGAACACACATAAGAACATAAGAACATAAGAACGGCCGTACTGGGTCAGACCAAAGGTCCATCTAGCCCAGTAGCCTGTCTGCTGACAGTGGCCAGCACCAGGTGCCCCAGAGAGGGTTGACCGAAGATAATGATCAAGCGATTTATCTTCTGCCATCCTTCTCCAGTCTCTAACAAACTGAGGCCAGGGACACCATTTCTATTCCCTGGCTAATAGCCTTTTATGGACCTAACCTCCATGAAATTATCTAGCTTCTCTTTAAACTCTGTTATAGTCCTAGCCTTCACAGCCTCCTCTGGCAAGGAGTTCCACAGGTTGACTACGCAATGTGTGAAGAAGAACTTTCTTTTATTAGTTTTAAACCTGCTACCCATTAACTTCATTTGGTGTCCTCTAGTTCTTCTATTATGGTGTCACAACACCGTTTCCTCTCTCCGTATGGTTTTGAACTAATTGCTTCTTAGGCCAGGTCTGCAGTGGGGGAGGAAGTTGAACTGAGAGACGCGAATAGGGTAGTTAGAGTCGACATACCTTAGTTTGACATACCACAGCATCCCTGCTGCGGGAGGCCGATGGGAGAAACTCTCCCATTGACTTCCCGTACTCCTCATGGCCCCAAGGAGTGGTCAACAGGGGAACCATCTGCGGTTGATTTAGTGGGTCCTTACTAGACCCCTCAATTGAACCTTGAGTGTCGCTCTCCATTTAAGTGTAGACAAAACCTTCGGCAGCCCCACTGCTGACTGAGGGATTCTGCTCTCTGACAGTTGGGCGGTAAGAAATGAGGGATCTTAGGGCAGGCTTGCCCAGGATGCTGGAATCTCTCTTGTAATTGACATGATTAGACAACAACAGTTACCAAACGGTGCATCATTTACGTTCGTTTGCCAGAGCAGAGTTTAGACCAGAGGTGGGCAAATACCAATCTGCGGGCCGGATCCGGTCTGTCAGGGTCAGTCCCTGGCGGGCCCCTAACCTCTGTGTTTACCTGCGGCTCCTCATGTCTGGAGCGATCGCAGCTCTTGGCTGTGGATCGCCATTTGCAGTCGATGGGCTTGGTGGGAAGTGGTGTCCTGGTCTGCATTGGTTCCCACCGCTCGTTGGCTGTGAACGGCGATCTGCCTCTTATCCCATCGCAATGTAATTTTCACAAGAGCCTTTGGTGAGGGACCTTGTCAAAGGCTTTCTGAATGTCTACACTGCCACCTTCGTTTGAACTAGGGTGGCTAATGTAGGCATTCAAACTTGCAAATGAAGCCCGGAATTTAAATATTCCGGGCTTTATTTGCATGTCCCTAGGCGCCGCCATTTTTAAATGCCCCGTAGTTTGAACTACACTTGCACAGACTAGGTAGTTAGAATTAAAGATCTTAATTCGAACTACCGTTACTCCTCCTGTAATCTCTATGAATGGATTCTCCTCTAAGAGAAGTCTCCATCCGATTTATATGCATCTCCACACCAATCCCCCTTGTCTGCATGTTTGTTAACCCCTTCAAAGAACTCTAAGAGTATGTCTACACTGCCACCTTCGTTTGAACTAGGGTGGCTAATGTAGGCATTCAAACTTGCAAATGAAGCCCGGAATTTAAATATTCCGGGCTTTATTTGCATGTCCCTAGGCGCCGCCATTTTTAAATGCCCCGTAGTTTGAACTACACTTGCACAGACTAGGTAGTTAGAATTAAAGATCTTAATTCGAACTACCGTTACTCCTCCTGTAATCTCTATGAATGGATTCTCCTCTAAGAGAAGTCTCCATCCGATTTATATGCATCTCCACACCAATCGGCTTTCCCCCATTTCTTAGTTTAAAAACTGCTCTACAGCCTTTTTAATGTTTAGTGCCAGCAGTCTGGTTCCACCCTAATTTAGGTGGAGCCCATCCTTCCTGTATAGGCTCCCCCTCTCCCAAAAGTGTCCCCAGTTTCTAATAATGTTACTTTTCTTCTAGAAAACAGATGGAGTTTGTAGTTCAAGACCAATTTAAAGAGATGTCCTAGTAACAGGTCTCTATTGCACTCTCTGACAAGCAATCAGTTTCTGGTTGCTCTTTATTTCATAAGAGATCAACCAAGAACTTTTCAAACTACAGGCAGTCCCCGACTTACGTGGATCTGACTTACGTCGGATCCGCACTTACAAACGGGGCTTTCTCGCCCCGGAGCTCGCAGGCAGCGGTCAGCCACCTCGACCTCCGGGGCAAGAAAAGCTGCTCCCGGTGCCCCTGGTCTGCTGGGGACCGTCTCCAGCAGACCAGGGGCATCGGGAGCAAAGCCGCAGCCCCGGCGGGTTTGCTCGCGGTGCCCCTGGTTTGCTCGAGACGGTCCCCAGCAGACCAGGGGC